AAAAAAAAAAAAAAAAAGTCAAAAAGGGAAAATGTTGTTGAGAAAAATAAACTACTTTAAAAATTCTTTAACACTGAGCATGGTGGCACACACCTGTCATCCCAGTGACTTGGTAGGCTGAGGCATGAGGATCAAAAGTTTGAGGCCAGACTAGACAATTTAGTAAGACCCTGCCTCAAAATTTTTAAAAGTAAAATAAAAAGGGTTGGAGATATAGCCCAATGCTAAAGTGCTTGCTTAGTCTGTGTGAGGCACTGGGTTAAATCCCCAGTACTATGAAAATAAATAAGGTTTTTTTCTTTTTCTCTTTTTTGGTGGGGGAGGGTGATGGGGATTGAATTCAGGGCTTCTGCAGGCTAAGCTGGAGATCTACCACTGAGCTACGCCCCAAACCCTCCCTTTGATTTTAACTGCTAAACTCCTGTCTAAGCTCAAACAAAATGAAAGTATACAGAGCAAAAAACTGAAGTTCTAATTTATTCTGTTCTGTATCTCACTGCTAACAGCTAACAAACTCCTGTTGATTTTAGTGTTTATGCAGCTATTTCTTTTTCTCCATATTTGTACACTACAGACATGAAAACTACTCATATAAAAAAAGAACAGAAGTTGATAATTACTAGTTCACTATATCTGGCAACAGAGTAACCAAAACAGCAGTATGTGGGCAATTGCTTGTTTCCAAAAGCACTACGAATTTTTTCAAACAAAAGCTTATATTTTACAAAACAGAAAATGTTGCTGGAAAACACTAATTCTTTAGTTATTACCCATTCCCAAAGACATTTTTATGGCTTTACCTTTGTTTTTAAAGCCAGGATGATGTCTCTCCCCTCTTTTCTCAGAATGACTTATTTTTAGTAGATTTTATTCTCTTTTAAAAAAAATATTTAACTGCTTATATTCTCTTAAGATTTTTAATTGTCTTGTCTGGTTTACTTTTTAAAAGCAACCAAATCCCATATAGAATTTCAATAATTATTAAAATAGATTTATTGACTTCAAAAAAGGTAAATAATTTGTTATAAACTCTACATTTAAAATTTTCTGTACAGTAACTTAACACATCCAAATTCAATGTCCTCTTAATATATAAAATAATACTAACTTTGTGCATAAGGATTCATATATTCTAATGGAAACAGAAGAAAATTTAAAAAATAATAATTCTATAAGCATTCAGCCAAGGGACAACAGCTCAACAAATTACACTGTACACTCACTGCCAGTGAGTATTAATATATCATATTCCAAATGCTCTAAGGCCAAAAAAGTTTCTAAAACTTGCGAACTCTAGAGTGTGTACCCATTCTTTCTGCCACTGATGAATAATTCTGACACAGAATAGCTAAAAATGTGCTAGTGATGGATGCTAAGATGTATGTTTAATAGAGATTTAATGCCCTTCCAAGGGTACAGTTAAGAAAACAAAGTAAAAACTCCGTCAGAAATGGAAAGTAAATCACACTAACTCTCTAAAGGTTTTTAGGAATAATACTGCAGATTTGGAAAAATAATAATTTTATGAATGATAAAGGAAGACATCATGGCCACTGGAGGCATTCAAGACTTTAGAGAACTGAAAAAGAATAAATTTCACTAAACCAAACCAAGAATGCATCCCCACATGGACCACTGCTATAATTCTCTCTCAGGGCAAATTCAGGAAAGGGCAAATTCAATTTTTAAAATGCAGGTCTAGGCATGGTTGTACATACCTGTAATCCCAGCACCCAGAAGGCTGAGGCAGGAAGATCTCTGTGAGTTCAAGGGCTCTATAGTGAGTTCAAGGCCAGCCTAAGCTGCATAGTGAGACCCTGTCTCAAACAACCAAAACAACAACAAAAACCACAGGTCTTGCACTAAAGATAAAACTCTGATTCAAAGGAGTTAAACATATATTTACCTAAATAGGTCAAAGAACAGTATCTACAATTATCTGAAAAGACTATTAAAAACATTTCTGTTTTCCAACTACATAGCAATAGATGCCAGATGAGCTTCATATATTTCAACCAAAACAATATATAACACAAGATTCACACAGAAGCAGATAAGGATATCCAGTTGTCGCCTCATAAGC